AAAATATAGAAAATCCGAAAGATGTAAAAAATGAAGATCAACAAACCGCAAATAACACGAAAATGACAACAAAACAAGTTGTGAAGCTAGAAGATTGTTTTATAATATAACAAATAATAAGTTTTGTTTTTAAATAGATTCTCAGCACATAGTGAAGACATAGCATGCACTGAATACCAGAAAACAAGGTCAAAGTTCAGCTAGTACAAAGACATGAACTAACAACTGAACTAAACGGTCAAACGTCATTTTTACTCACTATCTTCGCGAAACAATATTTGGTAGCATTTCTTCTTCCTGATGAGGTGCAAAAAACTTTCTCCAAAAGTTAAGATATCTTGTATAAAGTCTATTTACTTTATACATCGTTAAGCGAAATCTTACAGTATCAGAGTATCTCCGCACGTTCACCACATGGCCATTAAACATTGAATCAAAAATTCATTTTGTAATATATACTAATGTTTCAAACAGTGCCTATAATTATATTTAATCATCTGTTAATAACAAATTTTCATTTTTATCGGAATAATGTCGCTATAGAACCCAGCAGACGACTATGTTCCCAGCGTGATGAAGGGGGATTTCCCGCTGGTAATCTAATGAAGCTACATATTAACTTGTGCATTACATAATATCTTATGTCTAAGGGCTGATCATGGTCACGATTTTATTTCCATAATATCTTTTTTCAATTAACACTAAATTATTTTTTCTATCTTTATTTTCTAAATGGTTTATTACGTTTTTTGATTTTCGTCTAACAGATGTGTTTTAGTCTTTGGAGGTGTTTTATCTACCTCTTTGGCTTTGGTCAAAAACCGAAAAACCAAAATGACATAAAAATTATATTTTAGGAATGTCATGATTCATAACAAAGTGTACGTGGTGCCTCTCAACTCCAGCTTAAAATAATCCAGCAAATCTCGACTACAGAGAACTGCAATAGTCTAAATAAATTGCGATATGGATAAATACAACATCCTAACAACATAAATTTTCAAAATTATTCATAGACATATAGAATATCCAAAATAATTTCGCGAACAATGATTTCAAGAGACGGCCTATGTAGATGATTGAAAGTATATCCAGAACAGTAGACGCGGGGTATAGTCAATGAGACAGCAACCCAGAACAATAAAATCAGAAAAAAAGACATACAGACTTTGTCATTTCGGGGCCTTGTATAGCTTACTTTGTGGTATGTGTTTGGCTCATTGTTGAAGGCCGCACGGTGACCTATAATTGTTAACGGCATTTGGTCTCTGGTGGGGAGTTGTCTCATTGGCAATACTACCACATCTTCTTATTTTTTTATATTAAGGTTTAAAGGAACATAAATCACTCACCCATCATAAATATAAAAATCGATTTTAAATTTCTTTTGTTTACAGTTTCTTATATCTATTTCACTTGCGAGATAACAGAAATTTTTGGGATTTTTTTTCTGGGGCGGGAGGGGGGTTAATTTTTCTCTATTCTGTAAATACCAGACCCTAATGTATTGCTGATATTTTTTAATGAACAAAGTTTTGTTACTGTATTATAATTTTCAAAATAATAGACGGACACGATAAAATTGATTAACAATCATGTGTAGTTTTTGTTTATTTTTAAATATAATAATAATAATAATATTTTATTCAATAACATATCAAGCATACGAGTTAATACAATACTCAATATATACGATACATAAAGACATTACTAACACATACTTTGTAAAATATAATGGCATTTTATGAGTGTAGATAATCTTTAACTGCATGGAAAAATTTGCTGATATTTTATCAGGGATAACCCATGAAAGCTTTAAAGCTTGTTTCCAATGGAGTCCCTTCATGTAAACGGACATATGATACACCAGTCTTACCCAGAACGATATTTCACACATATATTAACACCTTATTTGTAAAAGTTCCTGTAGACTTTGAATATGAATGAGATCTGAAATAATGCAAATCTGGTTGTTTTGACATATTTCCTGAAATACAAGCAGTTTTAAAAGCGGCATGAATATCCAGAATTTTTTTTTGAAAATATCTATTTTCATTTTTCCGTATCTTATTATCAAATGGAGTTTTTTTTAAAGTTAAGATTTAAATACAGTCTAAGGTTAAAGTTTTTAGTCATCAATTACTTTGCCAAACCTTCATGGACCATTACATCAGTTGGACAGAATCTTTCTTATGATCAAAAGACCGCGCAAAATAAACATTTTTTTCTTTTCTTTTTTCCGTATTTTACTGACACATCAATTGATTTTTCAAACCTTCGTAGAATTTAATGAAGCTTTGGCATAAGCATTTTTTAAAGATTAAGAGATGAGTGACGTAATTTTTTTTATAAGATAGTTCTTTCATTGTCAGTATTTCAATGATAGATAGACTTAGAATGTTGCAGTCTCTGGGATTAAATGTTTTGTAAATTAAATTTGTAAAACTTCATTGATTGTTATGAAACTTGAACAGAAGCTAATCTTCAAGATCAAGAAAAAGCACCTAAAGAAAAAGATTTGAATTTCTTAAAATTCTGAATTTTACTGATAAATGGACTCACTTTTTACGGTCAATACTTTTACACTGAAAGCAGCAAACACAGGCGAGACAGACAGCAGCAATCACAGGCTTTTTCGTATTATAGGGGTCACGAAAGTGACCATCTCCTTATCTTATATTACCGACATAACATTCTTTCTGAAAGAAGGGCCACATGTGCTCATTACTGCAGGATGCTAGATAAGGAACAGACACAGCTGTTGCACAAGCACTTGTCTAATCTTTCTTTAACCCATGGGTAAACAAAACCTATGACAAGTGCCTGTTAGCTGTTGATTGAATACTAGCTATTATGGCAATAAACCAGAAGATGCCGGAGCACAGCCTTTTTTGACTGCAACACACTATTTTGACAGTGTGCTTTGTTTGGAAAGCATTAGGATTTTGAAGTTGTGAAGTCAGAATTGAATTTCCCGATATGGCTTATATACTTGTTGCGTATGATTAAAGAAAGGCTAAAGATGCCAAAGGAACATTCTAATTCATAAGTCGAAAACGAACTTACAACGCCATGGCAAATACAAAAGACCAAATTAAAGACAAATAACAGTATACAACCCAACAAAGAAAACTAAAGACTGAGCAATGTGCATATATCATGTATATAGTATCCAATGTCTTTGACACTGTATGGGAACACATGATTAAAACCTTCTACAAACCCATCAACACCAGTGTTACTTTTACACTTCTACTTTAGGGGGTGGTAATCAGATGTCAATTCTAATGTACAAAGATCTTTTGAAATAAAAACAAAGTAACTAAACTCATTAAACTTTTCCACCTTCACTGAACTCATTATACTTTTCCACCTTAACTATAAACTCATTACACTTTCCACCGTCACAAAACTATAAATACAGACTGAGGGAAATTGGTCATAGCAAGAAAAGATTCACTAAAACATATATACAAGTACTTCAAAATTTTTAGAACAAAAATTCTCTGGCACATCAACGTGTGTTCTTTTGTAAGTGACAATAAATTAACGCTATGACAGAGAAAATGAACTTCATTTTAATTTTGTTACATTCTAGCAGCATCTGCATACGAAATATATCTGCCAGTCAATGCTATATCCAGGGTTAACATTTCCTGTTTCATGCAAAATAAATGCTATCTGTATTTAGAGTAGAACAATTAAATTATATATATATTAACTAAGGAGATAAATAATAAATATACCGTATTACCATGTACTCACATATACCGTATTACCATGAACTCACATATACCGTATTACCATGAACTCACATATACCGTATTACCATGAACTCACATATACCGTATTATCATGTACTCACATATACCGTATTATCATGTACTCACATATACCGTATTACCATGTACTCACATATACCGTATTACCATGTACTCACATATACCGTATTATCATGTACTCACATACATCGTATTACCAGACAATAAGAGATATAACATAGATGTGCATGTTTGACGTTAGAATTATTACGTCGATGGGAAAAAAAGGGGCTTTCTGGAACTTGTATTGTTTGTCATGTTGGTATCAAATCAATGTTAAATTGTATACATCATTATGGTTCTGTGTCCGTAGTTACATCAGAGACATATAATACAAATATTATATGTCTCTGGTTACATTGTATCTTTGGATGTTTCTTTGTCCCACAACAAGATATATATAGTTGTGCCTAGCATAATGTTGAGTGCTCATACCGAGGTGATCGTATTGTATCTACAGTTCAGTTTCTGTGTCTACACTGAAATGATTGATTGGTGTTCATTTCACATTCTGTCCATTTTGACAGCGTATTGTATGCTATAAAAGTTATATGTCAACACTGAAATGATTTATAATAAAATAAAGAGATAGGATATGATTGCCAATGAGACAAGAGATAGGATATGATTGCCAATGAGACAAGAGATAGGATATGATTGCCAATGAGACAAGAGATATGATACGATTGCCAATGAGACAAGAGATAGGATATGATTGCCAATGAGACAACTATCCATCAGAAACCAAATGACGTAGATTTTCGCAATTATAGGTCACCATACGTATTTCAACAATGAGCAAAACCCATTCCGCATGGCGAGCTATATAAAAGGCCCAAATGTAACAAAATGTAAAACAATTCAAAGGAGAAAACAAACGGCCTAATTTAAGTACAAAACAACAAACGAAAAACAAATATGACAAACAACAACAAACTATAACCACTGAATTACTTGCTCTTGCCTTGGGACATGCAGGCACCTGCCACATTCTATGCCTTTTTATGCCCCCCCACCATTTTGTCATCAGTAACAGCATATTAAAATTCTCCTAAAACCTTTTCAATAACAGGGAATACTGAGAATAATATGTAAGACACTATTTTATCAAATTAAAAAAAAAATATGAAAAGGACTACAAGTTGCCACTTGTTGGCAATAAAAAACCATAAGGTAAAATTGCATCCTTCATTTTTAATAAAATCACGTATATATATATATATATATATAAAGAATACATCCTTATGTAAAATGAATAAAATCAAATTTGATATATTTAGCTAAATACAAGTAAACATCTCATGTAACAAACCAAATAATGATTTAAAAAATGAAAGACAAAATGAGATTTTATTCTGATTAAAATAAAAGCAGAAACTTGACTGGTTAATACTTCTATTAACATGCATAATATGCAAATAAAATAAATTAAACGTGATCTTTATTAAATGATATAACAATAAAATGCTCCGCAGGGCGCAGCTTGATACGACCGCAGAGGTCGAACCCTGAACAGTTGGGGGAAGTATGGACACAACATTCAAGCTTGATACAGCTTTGGATTTGGATTGTGATTAAATATTTGACACAGCATAGGTTTCTAACACAGATTGAATGTGGTCTAAGAACTTAAAAATTTTAAATTGGACATTCACCTATTATGGTCCAATATCCAAAATCTAAATACATGGTTAGATTCAGCATATCAAAGAACCCCAAGAATTCAATTTTTGATGAAATCAAACAAAGTTTAATTTTGGACCCTTTTGACCTCAATGTGGACAAAGTTGATAACGGGGCCCAAAAATTAAAAATCTAAATACATGGTTAGATTCAGCATATCAAAGAACCCCATATATTCAATTTTTGTTGAAATCAAACAAAGTTTAATTTTGGACCCCGATTTGGACCAACTTGAAAACTGGGCCCATAATCAAAAATCTAAATACATGTTTAGATTCAGCATATCAAAGAACCCTAAGAATTCAATTTTTGTTAAAATCAAACTAAGTTTAATTTTGGACCCTTTGGACCTTAATGTAGACCAATTTGAAAACGGAACCAAAAATTAAGAATCTAAATACACGGTTAGATTCGGCATATCAAAGAACCCCAATAATTCAATTTTTGATGAAATCAAACAAAGTTTAATTTTGGACCCTTTTGACCTCAATGTGGACAAAGTTGATAACGGGGCCCAAAAATCAAAAATCTAAATACATGGTTAGATTCAGCATATCAAAGAACCCCATATATTCAATTTTTGTTGAAATCAAACAAAGTTTAATTTTGGACCCCGATTTGGACCAACTTGAAAACTGGGCCCATAATCAAAAATCTAAATACATGTTTAGATTCAGCATATCAAAGAACCCTAAGAATTCAATTTTTGTTAAAATCAAACTAAGTTTAATTTTGGACCCTTTGGACCTTAATGTAGACCAATTTGAAAACGGAACCAAAATTTAAGAATCTAAATACACAGTTAGATTCGGCATATCAAAGAACCCCAATAATTCAATTTTTGATGAAATCAAACAAAGTTTAATTTTGGACCCTTTGGACCTCAATGTGGACCAATTTAAAAACGGGGCCCAAAATCCAAAAACTAAATACACGGTTAGATTCAGCATATTAAAGAACCCCATGAAATCAAGAATAAAACCCCATTGAAATTGGTCAAGAAATAAGCAATTTATAGGAAGTATCTTCTTTTGCACAATCCTGTGCTATTAAATATTTCTTGCTATTGCGCAATACTGTACAATTGACATTTTCTTGCTATTGCGCAATATTGTGCTATTGGATATTTCTTGCTATTGCGCAATACTGTGCAATTGAAGATTTCTTGCTATTGCGCAATACTGTGCAATTGAAGATTTCTTGCTATTGTGCAATACTGTGCAATTGAAAATTTCTTGCTATTGCACAATACTTATTATATAATAATTTACACATCCTGTTTGGTGTGTATCTCCTACCATATCATTATTATTTGATTTTAAATATAAATCAGAAATAACCAACTTAAAATGGAAAATTTTAAAAGAAACAAAAAAGGAAAAAAAGAAAAAAAAAGAAAAAAAAAATAAATCCCCCCCCAAAATTTTTTGAACCCCCATTATGATTCATCACCCCCAAACTCAATCCCAGCCTTCCCTTTGTGGTATGGTACCTTGCAGTACAATTTCAGAGAGATCCATACACTTGAACACAAGTTATTGTCTGGAAACTAGAAAAAAATGTGTTTTTTGGCCCCTTTTTGGCCCCAAATTCCTAAACGTTTAGGGCAATTACCCCCAAACTCAAACCCAGCTTTCCCTTTATGATATGGAACCTTGTAGTACAATTTCAGAAAGATCCATACACTTACACACAAGTTATTGTCATGAAACTAGAAAAATGCTTGTTTTTTGCCCCTTTTTTGGCCCCTAATTCCTAAAATTTTGAGGCAATTACCCCCAAAATCAATCCCAGCATTCCTTTAGTGATATGGAACCTTGTGGTACAATGTCAGAGAGATCCATACACTAACACACAAGTTATGTCTGGAAGTTACAAAAATGCTTATTTTTGGCCCCTTTTTGGCCCCTAATTCCTTTACTGTTATTACCATAACCCCCAAAATCAATCCCAACCTTCCTTTTGTGGTATTGAACCTTGTGGTAAAATTTCATAAAGATCTATTCACTTAAACTAAAGTTAGAGTGCGAAAACCAATGTGTCTTCGGACGACGCCGGACGACGCCGGACGACGACGACGACGACGACGACGACGCCAACGTCATACCAATATACGACCACAAAAATTTGTTTGCGGTCGTATAAAAATCATAAGAGGAAGACTAAGTCATGAACATGAAATAAATTAAAGCAGACTTATGGTTTAAATAAACTACAATAATTCACATTATTTCTTTACACAATTAAAAACCTTGACAGGTAAGTTACATTTAATAAACTGTTAACACAGAGACATGTCTTGCCTTAAACCTTTACAGGTACGTTACATTCAATAAACTGTTAACATAGAGACATGTCTCACCTTTAAACCTTGACAGGTATGCTACATTTAATAGACTGTTAACACAGAGACATGTCTCGCCTTTAAACCTTGACAGGTATGTTACATTCAATAGACTGTTATATATATAGTGTTAACACAGAGTTATGTCTCGCCTTTAAACCTTGACAGGTACGTTATATTCAATAAACTGTTAACACAGAGACATGTCTCACCTTTAAACCTTGACAGGTATGTTACATTCAATAAACTGTCATATATATAGTGTTAACACAGAGATATGTCTCGCCTTTAAACCTTGACAGGTACGTTATATTCAATAAACTGTTAACACAGAGACATGTCTCACCTTTAAACCTTGACAGGTATGTTACATTCAATACACTGTTAACACAGAGACATGTCTCGCTTTTAAACCTGGACAGGTATGTTACATTCAATAAACTGTTAACACAGAGATATGTCTTGCCTCTTTGTTATTTTGATAGTATAAATGCAAAAGTTGAAATAAAAATTGCAATACTTTAACATGTAAGTTATGCAAAATATTCAAAGTCAATGAAACATGAATGAAGGTACAGGGCCAAATAATCTCCATGGAAATGAGATGTGCTAATATAACTGCATATCAAATATCATTGACCTGCGACTAGTGGGTCCCCATAAACTGCCCTAATCACAAACATGTAAACTAAGCAAATGTTTCAAAGTCAATAGACCATGACTGAGGGGGCCGGTCCAAATAATCTCTATGGAAATGAAATGTGCCAATGCTAATACAACTGCATACCAAATATCATTGACCTACCACTAGTGGTTTCCCATGAACTGACCTAATCACAAATTAATACATTGTTGACGCCATCTCCGCCGCTGCCGGAAACAGCATACCTATGTCTCGATTTTTCACTCCATCAAGGCGAGAAGAAATTTGTGATAAACTGTTTCCTGCATGTTCATGATATGATTAATAATATAAACAATGAAAATGGCAATTGTTTGACCTTCTAGCCAAGGTAGTTTAAAAATAGAATAGAGAATGGAAGACTAAAAAGACTACCATTAGGATTCAATAACACAAGAAAAAACATCAGTAAAAGACTAGCATTGCAATTTAATTTCACAAGAAAACACATTTTTAAAAAGACTAGCATTAACATTCAAAAACGCAATAATTATATAATGCACCAATAATGAAAGGTAAATCACAGGTATTACACCTACAAAATAAATACAGATACAATCAATAAAACTTGATAAAACCAAGAGAAACATAATCTGCATCATATCACGAATCAGGATAGATAATACATGTTTAACAGTTAATAGTGAGATATGTCTCCTTTGATATAATATAGAAAAAAATAAAATTAAACCTAATTGCATGTGCATGGGAATGAATACTTATCCCATAAAAAGGATCTTTTTCGTGGGATCACATGCACCATACAATCATTCTATACACAAAATATAGTTTTACTTATAGTAATCAATTAAACTGACAAAACCATGAAAAACTTAACTTTTATCAATAAAGTTCAAGGTCAGATAAAACCTGCCAGATAGATATGTACACCTTACAATTATTCAATACACCAAATATACTGGCTCTATTGCTTATAGTATCTGAGAAATAGACCAAACAACAAAAACTTAAAATTGTCCAATGAACCATGAAAAAAGGTCAAGGTCAGATGGAACCTGCCAGACAGAAATGTACACATTACACTCATACCATACACCAAATGTAGTCAACCTATTGCTGATGGTATCTGAGATACTGACTTGACCATGAAAACTTAACAGCTTGATCACTGATCCATGAAATGAAGTTTAGGTCAGGTGAACCCTATCTGACAGACATACAGACCTTGCAAGTAACCCATATACTAAATATTGGTATCCTAATACTCATAATAAGTGAAAATTTCACATGACAAAAAAATAACTATAACTTTTTTTCAAGGAGTTGCTGAACCATGAAAATGAGGTCAAGGATAATGAACTTATGACAGACTGAAACTGTGTAACAAAAAACATCTACATACAAAGTATGAAGCATCCAGGTATTCTACCTTCTGATATATAAAGCTTTATACAAATAGTTTATGAAGTCTCCACCATAGATTGTAATCACTCTATAGCATTTTGCGACTTTTGTTGCAATCGAGAAAATAAAACTATATTAAGCCATCTCTTAGAGAGGTAAAATTTGAGACACCTCTGCACTAATGACATTAGGAAACACACAACAAGGAAGCATGCAAGTTATAACTGTCATAAAGCTGCATAAAGACACACAATCTTGTAGATCAAAGACTTAATGTCATTGTTCCATAATACCCATAACCAACATAAAATGGGTATGTTTTGTTTTGACTCGAGTCTGTAAAGCAATGCCACTTGATCACAAATCAGTGTTAGTACTTCTCCCTCTGTACATCAAGACAACAGAGGTCTCCTTTCATCCACCTGTTCACTGATATCTTCTACAGGTTCTACATCTAAATGTCTGACTAGAACTGTGGCTACGATTCCAAGCTTTACTTTCTGGAAGTCTCTGACAAACGTGAAGAAAAACAGGAGAAAAGTTACAGCTGTCACCCATTCTGATATAGTGCTGATTATGTGTGCTGTAAATCCCTGAAATATAGGTCAGGAGAAAAGTTACAGCTGTCACCCATTCTGATATAGTGCTGATTATGTGTGCTGTAAATCCCTGAAATATAGGAGAAAAGTTACAGCTGTCACCCATTCTGATATAGTGCTGATTATGTGTGCTGTAAATCCCTGAAATATAGGTCAGGAGAAAAGTAACGGCTGTCACCCATTCTGATATAGTACTGATTATGTGTGCTGTAAATCCCTAAAATATAGGAGAAAAGTAACGGCTGTCACCCATTCTGATATAGTGCTAATTATGTGTGCTGTAAATCCCTGAAATATAGGAGAAAAGTAACGGCTGTCACCCATTCTGATATAGTACTGATTATGTGTGCTGTAAATCCCTAAAATATAGGAGAAAAGTTACAGCTGTCACCCATTCTGATATAGTGCTAATTATGTGTGCTGTAAATCCCTAAAATATAGGAGAAAAGTTACAGCTGTTACCCATTCTGATATAGTGCTAATTATGTGTGCTGTAAATCCCTAAAATATAGGAGAAAAGTTACAGCTGTCACCCATTCTGATATAGTGCTAATTATGTGTGCTGTAAATCCCTAAAATATAGGAGAAAAGTTACAGCTGTCACCCATTCTGATATAGTGCTAATTATGTGTGCTGTAAATCCCTAAAATATAGGAGAAAAGTTACAGCTGTCACCCATTCTGATATAGTGCTAATTATGTGTGCTGTAAATCCCTGAAATATAGGAGAAAAGTTACAGCTGTAACCCATTCTGATATAGTGCTAATTATGTGTGCTGTAAATCCCTAAAATATAGGAGAAAAGTTACAGCTGTCACCCATTCTGATATAGTGCTAATTATGTGTGCTGTAAATCCCTGAAATATAGGTCAGGAGAAAAGTTACAGCTGTCACCCATTCTGATATAGTGCTAATTATGTGTGCTGTAAATCCCTGAAATATAGGTCAGGAGAAAAGTTACAGCTGTCACCCATTCTGATATAGTGCTGATTATGTGTGCTGTAAATCCCTGAAATATAGGTCAGGAGAAAAGTTACAGCTGTCACCCATTCTGATATAGTGCTAATTATGTGTGCTGTAAATCCCTGAAATATAGGTCAGGAGAAAAGTTACAGCTGTCACCCATTCTGATATAGTGCTAATTATGTGTGCTGTAAATCCCTGAAATATAGGTCAGGAGAAAAGTTACAGCTGTCACCCATTCTGATATAGTGCTAATTATGTGTGCTGTAAATCCCTGAAATATAGGTCAGGAGAAAAGTTACAGCTGTCACCCATTCTGATATAGTGCTAATTATGTGTGCTGTAAATCCCTAAAATATAGGAGAAAAGTTACAGCTGTCACCCATTCTGATATAGTGCTGATTATGTGTGCTGTAAATCCCTGAAATATAGGTCAGGAGAAAAGTTACAGCTGTCACCCATTCTGATATAGTGCTAATTATGTGTGCTGTAAATCCCTGAAATATAGGTCAGGAGAAAAGTTACAGTTGTCACCCATTCTGATATAGTGCTAATTATGTGTGCTGTAAATCCCTGAAATATAGGTCAGGAGAAAAGTTACAGCTGTCACCCATTCTGATATAGTGCTAATTATGTGTGCTGTAAATCCCTGAAATATAGGTCAGGAGAAAAGTTACAGCTGTCACCCATTCTGATATAGTGCTAATTATGTGTGCTGTAAATCCCTGAAATATAGGTCAGGAGAAAAGTTACAGCTGTCACCCATTCTGATATAGTGCTAATTATGTGTGCTGTAAATCCCTGAAATATAGGAGAAAAGTTACAGCTGTCACCCATTCTGATATAGTGCTGATTATGTGTGCTGTAAATCCCTGAAATATAGGAGAAAAGTTACAGCTGTCACCCATTCTGATATAGTGCTGATTATGTGTGCTGTAAATCCCTGAAATATAGGAGAAAAGTTACAGCTGTCACCCATTCTGATATAGTGCTGATTATGTGTGCTGTAAATCCCTGAAATATAGGTCAGGATTATATAGAAACATAAACACACGAAAAAACAGGAGAAAAGTTACAGCTGTCACCCATTCTGATATAGTGCTAATTATGTGTGCTGTAAATCCCTGAAATATAGGTCAGGAGAAAAGTTACAGCTGTCACCCATTCTGATATAGTGCTAATTATGTGTGCTGTAAATCCCTGAAATATAGGTCAGGATTATATAGAAACATAAACACACGATAAAAACAGGAGAAGAGTAACAGCTGTCACCCATTCTGATATAGTGCTGATTATGTGTGCTGTAAATCCCTAAAATATAGGTCAGGATTATATAGAAACATAAACACACGAAAAAACAGGAGAAAAGTTACAGCTGTCACCCATTCTGATATAGTGCTAATTATGTGTGCTGTAAATCCCTGAAATATAGGTCAGGAGAAAAGTTACAGCTGTCACCCATTCTGATATAGTGCTAATTATGTGTGCTGTAAATCCCTAAAATATAGGAGAAAAGTTACAGCTGTCACCCATTCTGATATAGTGCTGATTATGTGTGCTGTAAATCCCTGAAATATAGGTCAGGAGAAAAGTTACAGCTGTCACCCATTCTGATATAGTGCTAATTATGTGTGCTGTAAATCCCTGAAATATAGGTCAGGAGAAAAGTTACAGTTGTCACCCATTCTGATATAGTGCTAATTATGTGTGCTGTAAATCCCTGAAATATAGGTCAGGAGAAAAGTTACAGCTGTCAACCATTCTGATATAGTGCTAATTATGTGTGCTGTAAATCCCTGAAATATAGGTCAGGAGAAAAGTTACAGCTGTCACCCATTCTGATATAGTGCTAATTATGTGTGCTGTAAATCCCTGAAATATAGGTCAGGAGAAAAGTTACAGCTGTCACCCATTCTGATATAGTGCTAATTATGTGTGCTGTAAATCCCTAAAATATAGGAGAAAAGTTACAGCTGTCACCCATTCTGATATAGTGCTGATTATGTGTGCTGTAAATCCCTGAAATATAGGAGAAAAGTTACAGCTGTCACCCATTCTGATATAGTGCTGATTATGTGTGCTGTAAATCCCTGAAATATAGGAGAAAAGTTACAGCTGTCACCCATTCTGATATAGTGCTGATTATGTGTGCTGTAAATCCCTGAAATATAGGTCAGGATTATATAGAAACATAAACACACGAAAAAACAGGAGAAAAGTTACAGCTGTCACCCATTCTGATATAGTGCTAATTATGTGTGCTGTAAATCCCTGAAATATAGGTCAGGAGAAAAGTTACAGCTGTCACCCATTCTGATATAGTGCTAATTATGTGTGCTGTAAATCCCTGAAATATAGGTCAGGATTATATAGAAACATAAACACACGATAAAAACAGGAGAAAAGTAACAGCTGTCACCCATTCTGATATAGTGCTGATTATGTGTGCTGTAAATCCCTAAAATATAGGTCAGGATTATATAGAAACATAAACACACGAAAAAACAGGAGAAAAGTTACAGCTGTCACCCATTCTGATATAGTGCTAATTATGTGTGCTGTAAATCCCTGAAATATAGGTCAGGAGAAAAGTTACAGCTGTCACCCATTCTGATATAGTGCTAATTATGTGTGCTGTAAATCCCTAAAATATAGGAGAAAAGTTACAGCTGTCACCCATTCTGATATAGTGCTGATTATGTGTGCTGTAAATCCCTGAAATATAGGAGAAAAGTTACAGCTGTCACCCATTCTGATATAGTGCTGATTATGTGTGCTGTAAATCCCTGAAATATAGGTCAGGATTATATAGAAACATAAACACACGATAAAAACAGGAGAAAAGTAACAGCTGTCACCCATTCTGATATAGTGCTGATTATGTGTGCTGTAAATCCCTGAAATATAGGTCAGGATTATATAGAAACATAAACACACGATAAAAACAGGAGAAAAGTAACAGCTGTCACCCATTCTGATATAGTGCTGATTATGTGTGCTGTAAATCCCTAAAATATAGGTCAGGATTATATAGAAACATAAACACACGAAAAAACAGGAGAAAAGTTACAGCTGTCACCCATTCTGATATAGTGCTGATTATGTGTGCTGTAAATCCCTAAAATATAGGTCAGGATTATATAGAAACATAAACACACGAAAAAACAGGAGAAAAGTTACAGCTGTCACCCATTCTGATATAGTGCTAATTATGTGTGCTGTAAATCCCTGAAATATAGGTCAGGAGAAAAGTTACAGCTGTCACCCTTTCTGATATAGTGCTAATTATGTGTGCTGTAAATCCCTAAAATATAGGTCAAGATTATATAGAAACATAAACACACGAAAAAAACCAGACATATACAAAGTGGCTAGATAGGGGCTTTATAAGTAACAGATAGGCCAAAGCTTCAAATCAAATTCTTCCTCTAAAAATAATCATTATACTTTGAGTTCCTTAAAAATTAGAAGTTAAAAGCATCTACCCAAATAGAATGAAACTGCATGTGCTCACCAAGAACATGTCAGCTTGATAGTATACAAGTATTTTCCATATATAAACATATTGCGTATTAGTTTAAGAATTTCAAAAGAAATGTGAAATTAAAACTATATACTTTGTAAGATAAATGTTGGTAGATGTTATGGTGTCATAACTTCTGTGTGCTTTTACATAATCAGCTCTGATTCAAACAGATTTCTACATCAATAGGAATACTGGGAAAACAACTGCTCTCAAACCATATACATGTAGTCTTTCATAATACAAGGAAGCAACTCCATTACTTTTTAGTTTGTACAACTTTTTATTTTAGTTTTACAAAAGCAAAATGTTGAGTTTCCATATAAAACGACTTCAAATCATAATCCAAAATGATGATATAAACTTGTGTTGCTGTCTCATCATTGTATACCCCACATCTCATTTATTAATATCAATCTTACCCCATTTTCAGGCTTCCATTTTGTTTTATCTATGTGTCCATGTACTTGTATTCTGGACACAGTGGCTGAGACAAATGCTGTATACTGGTTAAGGAAATTAATTCCTGTAGAATGGTAGCAATCAATTATCATTCTGTTATATACCTATATGGAGTAATTTTCTTTCAGAACGATAGGTCTTTCTTTTAAAGAATCAACCCGGATGATACCATGCTTCGATGAAATTTGCTTCATGCAGTTACAGTAATAGTTTTATTGTAACTGAATAATGACTTCTAAAGTTTATATCTAGATTAATTAGTGAGTTTTATTTAACATTATAAAGTAGGGCATATTAAAACCTGAACACACCAGAAAAGAATATCCCACTTTAGTGTGGTTGGTAAAATAGAATGCAAATCCTGCAAATCTTTAAGTCAGCTAATGCATATTTTAAGGTTTTTCTTGCTGTATAACACACCTCGGGGTGTCAGGATTGCCCAAAGAAAGACCTCCCTATGGTTGGTCTTTCATTTGATCAAACCTGACACCCCTCGGTGTGTTATATGACAAGAAAAACCTTAAAATATGCATTATCGATAACATATTGGAGGTTAAGTTAAGTTTTTTAATGACTTAAAACCTGAATATGAAGAATTATTCATTGATATTGGACATGTGCATTTCCTTCTCTTTATACAGACAACTTGACAAATGAGATTTATGGTAATTTGCAATGTTTTTTGTACGAACTGAATGATTAAATGTCGTAAACAGATACAGTGAAGGATACTTAGGATCATAGCAGTTAATGCTTTACATGAGATCACAGATACAAGTGAAGGATACTTAGGATCATAGCTGTTAATGCTTTACATGAGATCACAGATACAAGTGAAGGATACTTCGGATCATAGCTGTTAATGCTTTACATGAGATCACAGATACAAGTGAAGGATACTTCGGATCATAGCTGTTAATGCTTTACATGAGATCACAGATACAAGTGAAGGATACTTCGGATCATAGCTGTTAATGCTTTACATGAGATCACAGATACAAGTGAAGGATACTTAGGATCATAGCTGTTAATGCTTTACATGAGATCACAGATACAAGTGAAGGATACTTAGGATCATAGCTGTTAATGCTTTACTTGAGATCACAGATACAAGTGAAGGATACTTCGGATCATAGCTGTTAATGCTTTACATGAGATCACAGATACAAGTGAAGGATACTTCGGATCATAGCTGTTAATGCTTTACACAGAGCTCCAGATAAGCTGCGTATTTGCGTGATCACGCAATACAAATGATTAATCAAAGCACGAAAGCGCTGTAAAGGCAGTTAATTACAGGTTGTGTGTATTTTAAGTCCAGTTATATCATTATCTTGCATAGTACAGTGTACTTATCAGAGGTGGCTTTCGGTATTTAAGATTTAGAGTTCTCTAATGATATTGAATAAGTTTTATGAATGTCATATTCTGAGCACTATATGAAGGCGATTGTTCTCACTTGTTTATGAACTAGTGCATTATGTCCAGTTTGTACCTTTTTTATCTATGTTTATAGTCAAATTAGTTATCAAAGGTACCAGGATTATAATTTAATACGCCAGACGTGTGTTTCGTCTACATAAGACTCATCAGTGACGTTCAGATCAAAATAGTAACAAAGCCAAACAAGTACAAAGTTGAAGAGCATTGAGGACCCAAAATTCCAAAAAGTTGTGCCAAATACGGCTAAGGTAATCTATTCCTTGGATAAGAAAATCCTTAGTTTTTTCATTGGCAATCATAACACATCTCCTTATTTATATAATGATCTATATTCAACGACCTCAGGTACAAAAAAAATGTATGTAACTAAACTATGATGGGAAACCTTTGACTTCTTTCTTTATATAAACTTTTGATTTGGTACCATAGAACTATGTAGAGTAAATGTACATTGCAACATGTCAACTCTTTCAACTCCAAGCAAAATCATATTTCCAAGCATAAAGTAATTTATGAATGAAATAAAATGCTCCGCTGGGGCGCAGCTTGATACGACCGCAGATGTCGAACCCTGAACAGTAGGGGCAAGTATGAACACAACATTCAAGCTTGATTCAGCACTGAATTTGGATTGTAATTAAATATTTGACACAGCATAGGTTTCTGACACAGAATGAAAGTGGTCTAAGATACTTAAAAAAATTTAATTTACCTATTCAAACCATATCATTATTATTTGCTTTTATATATAAATCAGAAATAACCAATTTAAAATGGAAAATTTTAAAGAAAAAAAAGGAAAAAGAATCCCCCCCAAATTTTTTGAACCCCCTTATGATTCATCACCCCAAAACTCAATCCCAGCCTTCCCTTTGTGGTATGGTACCTTGCAGTACAATTTCATAAAGATCCATACACTTGAACACATGTTATTGTCTGGAAACTAGAAAAATGCTTGTTTTTTGGCCCCTTTTTGGTCCCAAATTCCTAACCGTTTAGGGCAATTACCCCCAAACTCAAACTCAGCTTTCCCTTTGTGATATGGAACCTTGTAGTACAATTTCATAAAAATCCATACACACAAGTTATTGCCATGAAACTAGAATAATGCTTGTTTTTTGCCCCTTTTTGGCCCCTAATTCCTAAAATTTGGAGGGAATTACCCCCAAAATCAATCCCAGCATTCCCTTTGTGATATGGAACCATGTGATACAATGTCAGAGAGATCCATAGACTTACACACAAGTTATTGTCATGAAACTAGAAAAATGCTTGTTTTTTCCCCCTTTTTGGCCCCTAATTCCTAAAATTTGGAGGCAATTACCCCCAAAATCAATCCCAGCATTCCCTATGTGGTATGGTACCTTGCAGTACAATTTCAGAGAGATCCATACACTTGAACACAAGTTATTGTCTGGAAACTAGAAAAATGCTTATTTTTGGCCCCTTATTCCTAAACTTTTTGGGCAATTACCCACAAACTCAATTCCAGCTTTCCCTTTGTGATATGGAACCTTGTAGTACAATTTCATAAAGATCCATACACTTACACACAAGTTATTGCCATGAAACTAGAAAAATGCTTGTTTTTTGCCCCTTTTTTGTCCCTAATTCCTAAAATTTGGAGACAATTACCCACAAATTCAATCCCAGCATTCCCTTTGTGATATGGAACCTTGTGATACAATGTCAGAGAGATCCATAGACTTGCACACAAGTTATTGTCATGAAACTAGAAAAATGCTTGTTTTTTGCCCCTTTTTGGCCCCCAATTCCTAAAATTTGGAGGCAATTACCCCCAAAAATCAATCCCAGCATTCCCTTTGTGATATGGAACCTTGTGGTATAATGTCAGAGAGATCCATACACTTACACGCAAGTTATGTCTGGAAGTTACAAAAATGCTTGTTTTGGCCCCTTTTTGGCCCCTAATTCCTTAACTGTTGGTACCATAACCCCCAAAATCAATCCCCACTTTCCCTTTGTGGTATTGAACCTTATTTTAAAATTTCATTGAGATCCATTCACTTAAACTAAAGTTAGAGTGCGAAAACTAATGTGTGTTCGGACATTGACGACGCCAACGTCATACCAATATACGACCACAAAAATTTTTTTGCGGTCGTATAAAAAGGAGTTTTTAATTAAGAAATAAACTGATTCGCTGAGCGCAGCTGGATACACCCGCAGAGGTACTACCCTGAACAGCTGGGGCAAAACTGGACACAATATTCAAGCTTGATACAGGTCTGAATTTGGATTGTAATTAAATATTTGACATATTATAGTTTCTGAATAAATGTAGTCAATGAACTTGAAATCGGTTATATGAATTGAATTTATATTCAATTAAAGATTTCTTGCTGTTGTGCAATACACTGTGCTGTTGTGCAATACTTAATAAATCTGTTGCCAGACTATAAACAAATAAAGTTCAATTTCTTCTCAATGTCATATTTGAAATTTATGAAAATCAATAGGGAGATTACATCAATAGCTATAAATAATTCACCAAAGTTTTATGTGAACTGCTTAAAGCATTTTTGAGTTGTTGTCCAAAAACTGGAAAATCCCCCCTTTTTTAATGAATAAAACCCCATAACTCAGAAATGTAAAATCTAAAATTTATAAAATTCTAAAGGGAGCTTACGGATTGATAATTTAGTCTTAGATGCAAGATTTTTTTATCAGTTGTTAGTGGCTTTGAACTAGCTGTCAGTAACTGCGAGTACTCTCAGATTTGTACTTAGTGTCTTTTTGTTGTTTGGATGTACAACTACCTGACCACGTCCACTTGTATTTGTATTTATCCATCTGATGAGTTTAGCCTCTTTCAACTGATTTTTATAGTTCTTTCTTATATTGTACTGTTACACCACTGTCCCAGGTTAGGGGGAGGGTTGGGATCCCGCTAACATGTTTAAGCCCGCCACATTCTGTATGTACATGTATGTGCCTGTCCCAAGTCAGCAGCCTATAAAAGTGTAATTCAGTGGTTGTCGTTTGTTTATGTGTTGCATATTTGTTATATTTGTTCATTTTTTTACATAAAATAGGCCGTTAGTTTTCTTGTTTGAATTGTTTTACATTGTCATTTCTGGGCCTTTTATAGCTGACTGTGCGGTATGGGCTTTGCTCATTGTTGAAGGCCGTACTGTGACCTATAGCTGTTAATTTCTGTGTCATTTGGTCTCTTGTGCATGTGTGGAGAGTTGTCTCATTGGCAATCATACCACATCTTCTTTTTTATATTTACATAAACAGATATAAAAAATTCACCAAAGTCAAGGTGAGACAACAAAACTTAGTTGTAAGATCTCTGAAATTTTTTACACGGTACGAGTTTTTCTCATTGTTGGAGATTGTACGGTGACAGTAACACCTGCAACTGCTTAAACCCATTTCTTATGCACTTTAGTTTGATAAACTCACTGAATATCATACCACATCTCCTTATTTTTATATGCATTACAATTTACATGTGCATGTAATTGTAAATATATATATATCAGAACAAAATTCATTGCGTCACTTTTATTTATGCATCCTTTGGCACAATACAAGTTCTAAAATTACACAACATAAAACAACTAAATGTTATTTCAGATGAAAGTTTTGTTTCAGTTCCATTCATAGGATTTATTAGAATTTTGTATGTTTTGCCAAGTCCAATAATTCGCTCTATGTGACATAGTTGACTAAACCACCAGGTGTCGAACATTCAAGAATTTTCAGTGTTTCTGTTTTTATTTGATGAAAAGGTTGCCTGAGCTCTAGGAGCTTTAGGTTTTATCACGGGATAATCTGTGCTGGCAATAATAATCCAAGTCGTAGGAAACTTTAATTTGAAGTTGGATGGTGAAAAATACCTGACTAAACCACTAGATGGCCAAGTGTTAGCCTCACACCACTGTTTAGATATAAAAACAATCCATGTATACACAATATTCTTAACACTAGAATGACTAGATTCAATCTAGAATCTAGACAGTTCAAAGTTGGTTGTATGATGCCTCAATTTCATCAAAGTCATAAAAAAACTGATTTTCAACTGACACCCTATCAATTTGAAAATATATGTATCTCAAACAATGTGCTGCTGGACCAAGTGTGGTCAAAACAAATAAAAATTTAGTATACAACTCTAAACCGGTATAAAAATGCATGGCTGTGTCACGTGTCTTCATTTCAAAATTCTCTGCTGAAAATATAGGCATTGATGGTGTTTGCGTAATTCCATCTGTGAAGCTCAACATTAGCTCGGCAGTTGGTGGTGGACAGTCATGACAGTCATAAATCCTTTCTGCAGTATGAATGACTTCTTCAGGAAAACCAACTTTACAATCAAAACTTTCCTCTAGATTTCTACTACAATATTCATCAAGTTTAGTTCTTTTGTTTTCACAGGAAACTGCCCTGATTTTTCTTTTTGCGGACGATTCAGTCTCTTGCTTGGTCCAGGAAAATAGGCTGGGAATTGCAGTAGACTTAAGTCTCTGTATGGTGGGTTTGCGCCCTGAAAAAGGTTATAAAACATTAGTTTTTTTATAATTAAATGAACTTCCATTAGCAATGTATACTTTGTACTACCTGGCGAAATATTAACTAGATTTATTCATTACAATCTGGATAAAACTATGTTTGCCTGATTCAATGTATGTTATGTAAATCCAAAGGACAAACAATGAGAGACTTATGCAACAAACGTATATTGTTTGTACCTAAATAACTATAATATAGATGAGAGCATGTCATTGTTTTGTTCCTGTTAACATTGTCATTGATATTTTTCAAGAAAGTCTATGAGGTATAGCTTATGCATTCCTGTCATTACTACATTAGCATAATTACTGCTAAAATAATTCTCAGTATGATATACCTCTTGTAAGAAATCATTATAATTGTAGCAATCACCAAAAAATCTCAAACAGATCACATTGAATCGTAATCCAAAAAATTATGACGTCTTGAATTACCCACCCCCTTTTATTCTAAAACGATAATTGCGGTTGTAAACAGACTTTGGTTTATTCGTTAGGCGATTACATATATAACTATATATTTCACAAAGAAAATAGAGTTTTACCATGAATAGTTTCCTGCACGTAGTCTTTTTCAGTAAAACGTGCCTTGCAAACAACAGCTGATTGAGATGGACTCCACGATATCATCGTGTTCTCGTCCAATCTGCGTATGGGCCATGGCGTTGATCCAACTTTTCCTTCTTTTTAAGTCATTTGGAAATGCATGTCCTCCTCTTAAATGACATCCAGGTACACAACAACAAGTATTTGGCATCGTTAATTAAAAATATAACTGAAATAGTTGCACAGTGCAGAAACCGGAAGAAGAGGAACAGGATCCGCTACCACGGCGCCACCTATTCAGGAACGATAATTTGCTACTTTATATAACTGCGAAAATAACGTTAGACGGGTTCACGTGCATAAACAGAAATGCGCTTTAAATTGTATAATATAATTCATGTTCAGTCGACCTTTAATTATTATATCAACGACTGAAATGATTTATAAACATCTAGATTGCAGATAACACTCGAAATTAACCCGAGCTCTTTCCACACGGAATTCAAATAATTCTAGTTTGTCAATCGGTTGACTGCTTATAATGCAAAATACTAATATATCAAAAGTTTTTAAAACTAACAAAACACAATGATCGTTTCTCTATTTCCCAATGTAAATGAAATGAAACAAAAAACATTTTATATCGCAATAAGAAGAGGAGAGAATTCAACATTTCCGGATCTACTTGGAGTCTAATGACCCCCCACGTAGATAAGTTGGATATCGCGGAAGGAAGGATTAACCCGGCAACTAGAAAGGCATTAAAGCACTGCCTTTAAAAACCCAATGCAATTGCCCATTGCAGGGTTCAATAACCCAATTAATTCAAAGGAAAACTCAATTATATGCCAAAACCATGAGTTCTTAACGCTTTTATTCGCTTTCGTTTGCGTTATTTACCCTTATCTAATTACAATCGTCGCGTAAATCTATTTTTATAGAATTTATAATTGGAAATTTCCTTTCGTTCTAAAAATAGAGCCCTGCATCAAGTAGCTGAAATGGGTCCCTGTTGGAATGTTCCGTTGCTCAAAAGGTACACGTGTTTATGAAAACATTTCGATCTTCTCGGCGTTTATCCAATTAGCGTTTGTCATATTTTCATATTTTTTTCGAATTGCTCGGGACTTATCGTAACATACAATGAATTAAAACGAAAGTAAATGTCCGGTAAAAATATTGAATAGAAGCATGTTTTCAGCTTCTTTTTGATAGCTGAGGACAAGTTATGATGATAACAAGACTCAGCTAGTGTTTTATGAAGCGTCCGTCGAACGCACGGGCGTGATTGCGTACCTTAACGAGTACATTGCTAGAACGATAAACACGGGGTTTCTTCAAGAACGAAATCAGTTGGAAAAAGTGAAAGGCCAAATTTATTATGACATGTTATGTAGTTGGAAAGCATCGGAAACCAAAAGTTCTAATAAGGGACAACTTAACCCAGATTTATGTTAATTAAATTAAACAAAAACATTCAGATATAATATATTAGTTTATATATTATTTTTTCATTTTTAGTTGATGAGTGAATACACATATCCGTTTTTTTACGTCAATGCAGCTTGACACTTTCTTTATTTTGGTCTAATTGTTCTGTATGCTTAAGATAGCTGTCTTGTTGGCAAGTGTTATTTATTTTTTTGATGTTGCAGAATTATTTGTAAATTGAAGTTGAATGTGGTGTCCGTAATTTAACCACCCTTTAAACCTGGTCAAGGTTTTGGGGGTATATCTTAAATCTGGGAGCTACATATTATTTTTATTAAAAAGTAGATCTGGCAAATAGGTGAAAGGACTGGCAAAACTTTCTTACAGCACCTAAATTTCACATATATTACATAAAAATCTTAACACTAAGCCACACCTACCCCAAATAAACTGTAGGATATCATATGGGATCAAGAAACTTAAGGTAATTAGTTACTGTCCAACTAGTGATACCAGCTGCAGTTTATATAAGTTGCGAGAAAATACAAAACTGGAAGAACGTTTAAAACGGGACACAAATCAAACGTACAATTGCTCGTCAGTGAAAAAACCAAACAAAACAGCTAGCACATATACAAAGAAAGAAACATATTAAAGATGGAAAAACATCTTGGGTTGATATAATGTGATTATAACATGCCTAAATATTCAATATTGTGTTGGTGAAAAAACCCAATACGTTAAGGAGCTTGGTGGTGAAAAACCCAATTTGATATTTGCTTGAGGGGTGAATCGGAATTAATAATGCAATTAAAAAACTCAATCACCCAATTACATAAAAAAATGATGGGTAAAAACCCCAATTTGTGAATTCTTATCTGGAGCTCTGTTTACATGAGATCACAGATACAAGTGAAGGATACTTCGGATCATAGCTGTTAATGCTTTACATGAGATCACAGATACAAGTGAAGGATACTTACGATCATAGCTGTTAATGCTTTACATGAGATCACAGATACAAGTGAAGGATACTTATGATCATAGCTGTTAATGCTATACATGAGATAGCTAATCTGATTCTACAGATCTTCAGTCCATTGTAGTCAGGGTTCATGCGGTATGATAAAGAGGTCTGAACAAAGGCATAAATTACACCAACTCCAAGGACCAGGGCTGCACCTGTCACATGTGCTGGCTCTACATTTGTCTCCTGTAAAATAAAGGTTAAAATGCAGGACATACAAGAAAACAAGGACCAGGGCTGGACCTGTCACATGTACTGGCTCAACATTTGTCTCCTGTAAAATAAAGGTTAAAATGCAGGACATACAAGAAAACAAGGACCAGGGCTGGACCTGTCACATGTACTGGCTCAACATTTGTCTCCTGTAAAATAAAGGTTAAAATGTAGGACAAACAAGAAAACAAGGACCAGGGCTGCATCTGTCACATGTATTGGGGCAACATTTGTCTCCTGTAAAATAAAGGTTAAAATGTAGGACATGCAAGAGACAAAGGACCAGGCTGCACCTGTCACATGTGCTGGCTCAACATTTGTCTCCTGTAAAATAAAGGTTAAAATGTAGGACATACAAGAAAACAAGGACCAGGGCTGGACCTGTCACATGTACTGGCTCAACATTTGTCTCCTGTAAAATAAAGATTAAAATGTAGGACAAACAAGAAAACAAGGACCAGGGCTGGACCTATCACATGTGCTGGTTCAACATTTGTCTCCTGTAAAATAAAGGTTAAAATGTAGGACAAACAAGAAAACAAGGACCAGGGCTGCATCTGTCATGTATTGGGGCAACATTTGTCTCCTGTAAAATAAAGGTTAAAATGTAGGACAAACAAGAAAACAAGGACCAGGGCTGCATCTGTCACATGTACTGGCTCAACATTTGTCTCATAAAAATAAATGTAAAAATTTAGGACATTCATGTATACTTTACTCCATTACTCTACAAAATTATTTTCATTTACCTGTGTATATTATTCTATTTGGCGGCATTTTGTTCAAGGTTTACATAGATATATCATGTATATGGCGGCATTTTGTTCAAGGATATGGTTGACTTTCTGAAATTGTTTATTATCTCATCTCTTATTTTATTCATTTTACATTGTGTCATAGATCAAATTTATTCACTCAGTGTATATTCACTTGTTTGATTTTCTTTTGATTGAGTTAAGCCATTTCAATTGATATTTTATAGTGTGTCTTTCTATGTTGTGATGTTACACTATTGTTTCAGGTAAGGGTGAAGGTTGGTACCTATTAAAACTTTTAAACCTGCTGCATTTGTTTGCACCTGTCCTAAGTCAGGAACCTGATGTTCAGTGGTTGTCGTTTGTTGATGTGTTTCATAAATATTTCTCGTTTCTTGTTTTTTATATAAATTAGACCATTGGTTTTCACGTTTGAATGGCTATACACTAATCATTTTTTGGGGTCCTTTATAGCTTGCTGTTTGGTGTGAGGCAAGGCTCGTTGTAGAAGACCGTACTTTGACCTATAATGGTTTACTTTTACAAATTATGACCTGGATGGAGAGTTGTTTTATTGGCACTCATACCACATCTTCTTATATCTATATATAAGCCATCAAAACCAAACATCATATTTTTGTTTCTACAATTAAGGGAGTTTTGTGTTTTCAAATAAATCTCAGGTAAATTATTTCTTAAAAATAAATACAAAACACATATTAATAGCCAATTTAAAATGAAAATACAAGTTGTATAACCGTAAGAAAAAGAATTAAGAAGCAGTTCATAAAACATATTAAACAGAAGATTTCAGATTGGTTAGTTTTTGTTGTTGAATCAAAAGAAAGGAATTACTTTATTTTCTTTACTTTAATCAGCAATTAAATAATTGTAAGTTCTATGTACCAGGTTAGTTTTAAATGACTCCTTGATCAAAGAAAGACAACTCTGATTTTAATCAAAGAATTAAAAGTGATCTTACATTCTATGCAAATTCACTCTTGGTGATGATATTTTTTTAAAAGTGTATGATGTTGATCTGATGTGGTTCACTCGGAAATTTCTCCATCTGGTAAAAGATTTTTCACAGAATTTTACAGGTGAGCAGCTGAGACATCCATTACCACACTCTTTTCACCTATTTTGAATGGGACAAAAATACCAATCTGGTCATAAATTTTTGACAAACAATATGATTATGCTCTTTGATGGAGAGGTAATTAGATTTGACAAATATTTTACACATTGACAACTGTGGTTTTATGCCATCTGTGATTTGGAAAAAAAGAAGAAAAAAAACCCATCTTGTCTCAATTTCTCAACCTTATCATATAACATGAAGCTTTAACTAGTGACATATTCCAGCAGCCCATCCCTACCCCACATTTTATTTCATTCTCCTATTCTTTGAATTTAATTTAAGGTAAACATTATTTTGAAATCTCAGAAAACATTTCCCAATTATGATATATTTTGAGTAGAGATGCATACTTTTATTCAAACAGCAGCAATTTTACTGTAAGCAATGTAAACCAATATAGACTATCCCTTGAAATACATGTAGGTCATTTTGATATGATGTAGGGTATGTCAATGAGACCCGAACCAATGACAAAAATATACAAAAGACATCTACAAAACATCTTCTCTAATTTTTGTGCTATTTTCACATTTCTTGATCGGTGTGAGAAAAATATTTCTCCTCACTAGTGAAATATTTGATCTCGGCAAATGATTGGTAGAAATTTAATTATAACGTCAGATTTTCTTGGGTTTCTTCTGAATTTCTTATTGTGACGTTATGAAAAAAGGCGACCATACCTGATGATGTCATATATAAAGAACACAACTTTCTGCAAATCTTTGAAAAGGAAGGATAAAAATCATTAGAGAAACAGATTCCACCACTATAACTCGTGAATTACGATATTTCTCCACTCTCAACAGTTAAATTTTAATTATTTAAAAAGCTCGACAAGCCTCGCGCTTTAAATATTAAAATTTAACTGTCTCGAGTGGAGAAATATCGTAACACACTTGTTGCAGTGTTGAAATCTATATTTCCACAAAATAAGAAACACATACAAGAGGATGAAATTATTTGTAATAAGATGTGCCATTTAAAGAAACTCAATTTTATATTTTTAACAACAGCAAAATTTTTTAATAAGTTAGCTTGCAAACAAATTTTGAAATGATTGAACTGACTAAAAAGTATATTTTTCAAACACTATGACAATTATAGTTAATCATAACTCTATAAGATTATCAAACTATAAATAATATACAAACCTGGAAGTTAGCAACCATACTTAGTCCCAGTGAAGAGAAAATACCAAGAACCAGACCAGCTTTGTTTAAACAGACAAGTTTTTTATCTTCCCCAACACAGATCTGTGATACCAGCTTATATCTAACATACATAGTAGCAATGGCTGAAACATATACAATAGTAGCAATATAAATATTTACTAGGTGCTTACAATGTGTGTTCTATAATATGCCGTTTTAGTTATCTTCTTATCTAAATTTTTGTGACTACGTTTTAGTTATCTACTTATCTAAATTTTTGTGACTACGTTTTTGGTTATCTGCTTATCTAAATTTTTGTGACTATTTAATGTTTTGGCTTATAAGACTCTTTTTTTCCCTGACCACATGCATCATCTTGAAGTTGCTTAAATTTTGGTGTTTTTTTTCTCATCATCGACAATGCAATATCTTTATCAATAAAATTAATCCTTCTTCTTTGAATCTTTTTCTTTCTTTACAAAATGAATTGTTGTTGTTATGTACAGGTATATAAATCATATATAATCCTGATTAGGTCTAAATATTTGCCATTGGCAATTCAGCAAACAGCTACAATTAAGACTCAGAACACTTGGTTCAAACCAGGTATTGCAGGTGTTGTTTTGGCCATATCATTTTATCCTCAGTTCCATGAAAACCATACTACTTTTTACATACATTCTATGTGTGTATGACAGTGTAGAAATAAATGAAACTTATTATGTACTGTAAATTCAGAAATTATTGTGAGGTTTTTATCAATGCAAATAATGTGACTGGTTGAGTATCGCAATAATAAGAAACTAGCATTCTGAAATCTGATACAAACTTCTGTATGCAGATGTTTTTGGAATCGCAATAATTAATCTTGCATTTTTGTCCATTCCTCAAAAATTGCAACAATAAATGCATGCAATAATTTCTGAATTTACAGTATTACCTAATGCAGCTGATATATTCAGGAACTGCCCAAAAATACAGCTTTCTGGTGGTTTGGTACCAGTGTCACTGAAATAAAAATATAACATGTCATATGGTCAAGTGCATTAGATATTGTCTCTTACAAAAATACAGCTCTCTGGTGGTTTGATACCAGTGTCACTGAAATTATAACATGTCACATGGTCAAGTGCATTGAGATAGTGTCTCTTAATTCTGAACGACAAATCTAACTGGTACAGTGCTTTGGATGTGTACAGATAGATACTTTAATTAGTCTGGGAGAACAGGATTTATAAGTTGTAACTGGCTTTGAACTAGCTTTCAGTAACTGCATTTGTCTAATGTTTTTATGGTAGTTGTTTTTTGTGCTTCATACATATCTATTGAGTTAAGCCTTATGAAACTGATTTTTTCAGTGTGTTCTTATGTCGTGCTGTTAAACCACTGTCCCAGGTTAGGGGAGGGTTGAGAACTCATAAACATATTTAACCCAGCCACATCCTTTATGTACCGGTCCCAAGTCAGGAGAATGTTATTCAGTGCCTATAATGGTTTGTTTTCCCTTTATTTAATTGTTATAAATTATACTGTTCGTTTTCTCTTTTGAATTATTTCACATTATTCATGTCAGGGCCTTTTATGGCTCAATATACACTATGGTAAAAGGCTCTTGGAGAACACTGAGATATTGAAGATCTTAAACACAAAAACTTACCTTATGTAAGGAAAATACGGAGATACATCATGCCTTACAATAGCAATGATATATGACACAATAAATGTGGCAAAGGATGTCAATACCAACAAAATTGGCAAATAACTCAGACCTCTAAAACACATGGTCAGATGTAGGATTCAGTTTCTTCTGAAAAATAAAAACAAAACAATATTTTTCCCTCAAGAAGTATTACTTTCAATATCATTAAATTCCAATCCTGTGTCCATCCTCTGCTTACAAGGATCTGACAAACTTTCCTTCTAATTTCAGTCCTGATAATAATTATGTGTTACATTTAAGCATAACTAAAAAATATATGAAAGGTCTTCAAGCAGTGTCAGATTCTTGTTAGCAAAGCATGGACACAGGATCTGTATTGAAACAGATTTTATAAAGCACTTTTGTAAAAATATATAATGTTCGAAAACTTCAGACAATCAATTTGCCACATGCTATGTGGTGCTGTTTTATTACTATTTATTTGCATGCTGCATGCCTTGTTTTATTTGTTATTGTATATGTTTTTATATTCGGTGAAAAGCTCATTAGAGCTTATGTTTAATTTGTTTGTCAAATATGCCGAATCCAAATACAGTTTTACTTACTTACTTATATTACCCTGGAATAATCATAGACAACAATAGCATGGATAGACAGGATATTTAGGTGATTTTTGTTATATACAAATTTTCGTTTTGTCTTTGACAGGGTATAATCTTTTGTATACTTATTAAAAGGGAGTAGAGAAAACTCCAAATTAGAGAAGGACCAGAGAAAATAAATATATAAATATAAATATAAATATAAACTTCTATGTCATTTGGTCTCTGGTGGAGAGTTGTCTCATTGGCAATTATACCACATCTTCTTATTTTTATTCATAATAGTTGTGTACATACATGCCATAATAACAGTCGACATGGAATTATAAAACCTACAAATTCAAATTTGAGAGAAAAAAAATCTTTGGTTGACACAATATTTATTAAAACAGAATTTAGTAGTGATTGTTGTATGATCCTTGATCATGTTGATAGGATGTTTTTGTACCTCTTGTTGGCCCAAAATTGGATTTAATAAAATTTGATTTTGAATTACTTATGCAGTGCAAGATTCTTAAATGCAAATATAATGATGTTTGCTTAGCAGTCATTTGCATATTTTCTTGATAGTTTAGTTAATGCATATAGCCTTTATAGATGTTTTATGGTCTTGTGAATGCGTTCTTTATTCATACATGTCTGTGCTACTAAATACTTTCAATTTTTATGTTCCACATGCAGCGATAACTTTCTGCATCTTTTACACCTACTGTATAGACCAGTTAAGCTGGGAATACATTTGTAGTTGTCCAAATATTTATGATGCTTTAGAAGCTACATCATATTTAACAATAGCATGCATTTAAAAAAAAAATTTCAATGCTTTCATGCCAAATCAACGAGGGATCTACATGCAAAAGCTCAAAATGGAAAAAAAATAGCATTGGTAGATATCATGATTATCTGGGCTACATTTGTAGATGTCTTACCCTGCAGGTCTGTCTTTAACTCCACTTAGTTAATAACTGTCTAAAGTGTGAGGTATTGACAAGCTCCAAATTTTGTTAAGATGCACAACTTGGCTCACAGTTGTAAAAGTATAAATTTTATTGGAAAGTTTTATTAGTTTAAAAATTTCTTATCTGAGGATAAAAATATCAATGACTAGCTCTCATTCATAAACCATGGGAACAAAATGTTAGATTCATAGTCATGTGAATGAAATTATTTAGGTCAGACAATCATGTGATACAAAAGGTTTCCCCCCAATTAACTTTGTTGACAGTTAAATAACAATATGAACCTTTCAATTTAAATCCTTGTCAAGTATTTTCAAACCTTGGTTTTTCCTAGAGCTACATTGTTGTTCTTTTATCATGATTATCATGTTTATGATTCCAGACTGGTCTAAGGTGAGACAACTCTACAGAATATACAATAAGCACTACAATCCCGATCCCGGCCCACAGCACACAAATTGTAAAAAAAAAAAAGCCCAGCCTTCCAGACGGTCTTTAGGATTAACCATGTTAACTGATATTTGTGTTCTTAAATGGGAAAATTTACGACTGTGCAAAATTTTCTTTAAAGCTGGGAATAGTTCAATAGTAAGTAAGTAAGTAAGTATATCATTTATTATATTATTATAGTGACATGTGTAGCATAAATAATATAAAATAATAAAAATACAATAGTTAATTAAATTTACACCCGGCCCGTTGGACCTATAAGTCACTTTAAACTTAATGTTCATATTTTTAATACGCAATGTGATATTGTTACTTGTAAAGAATCTTCCTTTTACAGAAAAATAAATTTAAATATTTGGCAATATATTATGAGATTGTCTAAAGTGAACATCTATGAATAGTCATGATACTCATCATAATCACACAAGGATGCTTGAACTTATATTTGAAGAGCCCATTATTAAAACTTCAATGGAAAAAGATAGTTAAATCCCAAATTTACGCCTACACAAAATATTGACGAGTCAAAAGGGTGTTCCACACTAAAATTCATGGACCATAGATATAACATTAGATCCGTACATCCCGCTTTGCCAATTCGGTCAGGGCAAATCTAAAAGACACCAGACTTGAAAACTTCCTGTACGTCTTAAAATTGCAACTGGGAACTATATCCTACAAATCCACAAAGCCTGATTGTTAAAGAAATATATCCTGGTAAACTTATCGATTCTTTAAATAAACTTATTCTAAAAGGTTACCAATTCAACACTGTAATTAGATAATTGAATATTGTTTTTATTGGTATTAATATTGATTTTGTTATCGGTAAATTAAAAGCAAACTAAATATTATTGTTATATATATATGTATATACATTCATGGATCTACAATATGTCGATACCCGTATCTTGGCATTGCACAAGGTCATGTTTTTCTCTGACTGTTTATGACGTATTTACACTAAATCCATTGGATGTTGGATGTGTACTGATTGATAATTTAGTCTTAGATACATGATTTTTTTTGTATAAGTTGTTAGTGGCTTTGAACTAGCTGTCAGTAACTGCGAGTACTCTCAGATCTGTACTTAGTGTCTTTTTGTTGTTGGGATGTACAAGTATCCGGCCACGTCCACTTGTATTTGTAGTATTTGTATTTTCATCCATCTGATGAGTTAAGCCTTTTTCAACTGATTTTTATAGTTTGTTCTTATGTTGTACTGTTACACCACTATCCCAGGTTAGGGGAGGGTTGGGATCCCGCTAACATGTTTAACCCCGCCACATTCTGTATACATGTATGTGCCTGTCAAAAGTCACGAGCCTGTAATTCAGTGATTGTCGTTTATTTATGTGTTACATAGTTGTTTTTCGTTCATTTTTGTACATAAATTAGGCCGTTAGTTTTCTCGTTTGAATTGTTTTACATTGTCATTTCGGGGCCTTTTATAGCTGACTATGCGGTATGGGCTTTGATCATTGTTGAAGGCCGTACGGTAAAGTATAGTTGTTAATTTCTGTGTCATTTGGTCTCTTGTGGAGAGTTGTCTCATTGGCAATCATACCACATCTTCTTTTTTATATATCAGTTCAATTTGTAAACTATGTAGTAACGCGGGTGAAAAAGGTGAACACTTCATCCTGTTATGCGAAAAGAAAACAAGAAACAAGAAAACCACCTACGTTGAATATATTAAACAAAATTCGATTCTAGCTTTAGATACAATTTCCCTTCCAGCTGATCTATCAAATTAAGAACCAGCTTAAGTTCTTTTTAGGAAAAAACCATAAACCCCACTTGAAGTTAAATGGTCGTTTCCTAAAGCATTTGAGTAGTCTCCACTTATAATGAAAGCATATTCTTAATTTTTTTAATAAATCAATAGTTGTTCTGTAGTGGTAAACATTTGAACATGAAAAATAAGATAAAATAACTTTAAAGTTGTCATTTTAAATGAAAATTCTATCAAATTTGTTAGATTTCTCCATCGAAATTTACTAATTTTAATACAAAATACAATATGACTCAAATCTTGCTCTTTTTTATTTTATCAAACCACAAAACCAATACATGCACAACAACAAAAACACACAGAAACCAAAGGAGCAGCGCTTATATTACTGTTCGTATTTCATCTCAAAGTCAGAGTGAGGTCTTCAACACGCAACAAAATAAAATAATCCTATCAACTCACAACAAGTTTAAAACGGCCTCTAGCATCACCAGAACGGCATGAGCGGAATTCTTTGCGAAAATTTGGATAAACTAAGTAAGATGTTACACCACCAAATCGGGCTCTGTCAAAAAGAACGTGCTGGAAAGTAGTACATGTTTAAATAAAAATAGATCCTGCGCACAAGTTTAAATATCAAACTATGTAGAATATATTTTGTTAATTTAGGTATCGAAGAAAAGATGAAGGACTAGTGATCCTTGTAAAACACATTTTGACTGATAAATTTAACAAAAAATGTATGAATGAAAAATTGAAGGCATATATTGCCTATTTCTCATATATGAAGTACCTAGTTTGGTGTATCCAATTAAATTCCGGTATTCAGTACGGTCTGATGTGTAAATAACGGTATAATGATCCAGCCCCTCATAAATGTTTGAAATTGAAAAAAAAAAAAAAACAACGGGGATAGGAAGTAGTACGATTATGAAATCTGGGACATCGGAAACGAGCTTATATTTTCATTTATGATCAACTGAGAAATGTACACACTATGTAAATCAGTCTTACAAGATAATTCAATAACATTATACATATACGCTATACACGGGTGCCATTCGGTTTATCGAGAGAAATGATCGTGAAAGAATACCCAACGGTGGTCAAGAATTGCGATCAGATCGTGAAAGATCAGGTACCGGATCGTGAATGTAATTAATTGAAATTTTACATCAAAACCTTAGAAAAATCTGTTGTATTTTCAAAACGCGAAATAAATTCGAAAAAAAATTATGTCTGTCAAAATGATTCAACTTTCTCAATATTACTGTGCAGAATGATAAATAAAATATGCAGTACTTTAGGAGAAAACACAAAAGGCGCAACACAAGTATATTGGATTTATTAAAAAAAGAAAACGTTTTGAACGTATAATGACTACATTCCAATATATAATGATATATTTGAAACTGAATCTTTGGTGAGACCGATAAAACAATAAAATAAAAGTTTTTTTCCCTTGAAACCGTTCATTTCTTTTTTAAAAACACTGAAATTTGTAGATTTTTCATAAAAGTTGATCGTGAAAGATCGGGAAACACATTATCGCGATCGTGAAAGACAATGCGTGACCAGATAGACGCAGGACGTTTTTTTTTTTTTAACCTATAACACTTAACTTTGATACACCTGCACAAAATTGACAGAAACTTTTTACCTATAAAACTTGTATACCTGTAATCTTCAGAACATTTACCAAAGTCATAAAAAGATGTTCACATATTCTTTGAAAGTTCATCCGAACAAACGAAATTCAGAAAAAAAATAATCGGGTAAACCAGACATATAATAAAAAATATAGTATTACGTTTCTGGGGGTGCATTACATTTGCGCGCATTTGGGGATAAATTTCTGTTTACGTATGCGCGCAGCCTTTGCTAAAATTTGCGAATATTTCAGAGTAAATAGCATTCTTTTTCATTATTTCACCGAATTGCAATTAAATGAAAAATTTAATTCAGTTTATAAAATTACACCAACACACGGAGTTTCGTTTGTCAGAAACAAATAAGGGGTTGGGGGTGATTTGTGTACGATGGAAACTACTTTCCGTATAAACAAAACACTAAAGTCAGGGGATATTTCATAGAGATGCATCGTAAATAATTGCAACGGTTTTTCGTCGGATTCCTATTTTCCTTCGATCAAATCTTTGAGTATCCAGCAGAATCCAAGCGTACTACGTATAGTTTTGAGCATGTTTCGACGTGTAAAAATAATACTTTTAATCGTGAGATATACTTTTTTCTGCATTTTTATCTGTATATTGTTTCAGGACCAAGTGTGTATGCGTAATAAAACGGACTTATCCTGCTCGAAAAAAAAAGTTGAATTAAAATAAATAAGTATTTGCTACCTTATTTACCAGAGTTTACTTTAAAGAATGCGCGCAAATGTCATCGAAAGCTGTGTGCAAACGTGCCGATTACACAAAGAATACATTATCATAAATCATTACTAATGTATAAGGCAAAACATGGCTTAGCTCCAGAATATATGTCCAGTCTTATTTTATCAGCTTCTGCAAACCAAAAATACAATACGAGATTTTCGTCTTCAGATAATTTTATAATTCCAAAACCAAATACAGAGTTGTAAAAGTCTAGTTTCTCGTACAATGGACCAAAAGTATGGAATGCTCTTCCTAATACAATTAAAAATCAAACATAGTATTAGAATTCAAACAAAACTACAAATCTATGTACTTTTAACATTACCATGATATTTGTTCTGTAATACCATGTAATAATTGTTTATTGTACCTAAATTGTATTGCATCTTTATTTATCATAATTATTGAATATGTATTGTTTATTTTTTAATGTAATTATTCATGTAATTAGAGAGCCTTATTGAAAATTGGTACAATCCAAATGAGTTACTCTCTCTAAATAAAGATACTATTATTATTATTACCTCGCAATCGATTGTGCATGATGCCCAGCTTGAACTGTAATTTAGCAAATTAGGTTCTATTCTCAATCTTAAATTTGAGAGAGGGAGTAACGTCCCCTTATGGA